GTTTTTTTCTTTTACGAAAAAACAAACTTTTTCTCTATAATAAAACAAACTCATATAAAAAAGTTATTTAGAAATTTTACTGATTTTTTTTAAAAGCCTTTTCTACTGTTTTTAAAAGATACAAATAAATTATTCTTGTTGTAAAATCTTAAACAAATTTATTCCGATAGCTAATGTTAAAAAGCATAGTTTTTGGTTCTCTTAGAAATGAGATGCGTCTGAAACTTCGAAAGTTTTTTTTTGGAATTTAATAGTTTATTTCATTTATCCGTTAAAATAATTTAGTCAAATGTAGATTTTTTTTTCATAAATTTTTTATACTAAATGGATTTTTTATCTTTCTTTCACCTTTTTCTTGAAATTTAAAGTCGCATACATTACGTTCATACAAAATTGTAACACAAATATTCTTCGAGACAAAAATTATATTTCAAGCAGATAATTTATAATGTTATATCATGTGGTTTCTTGAAAGAAATTCACCCAGTTAACAATTTTTGAGTAAGCGATATTTTTTTCTGTAAAAATATATTATATGTAAAATATATCATATATACTTTTTTAACTATATTATTTCTATTTCATTTTTATATTTATCCACCTTTCATATATATATATATACGGAGGGGCTGTCTCATTTTTAATTACTCCTAACAAAATTTCAAGAATCTAAAAGTTTCTGTACCTCCTTAAAGAAATAAATAACAATAAATTTCATCAAAACTAAATAGTATTTATCCCGTGACTTATTTTATGCTAAATCTTACATATCATTCCCTATGCTACATCGCTTAGCTTGGATGAGCTAATATTCAATTTCTATTGTTAAAATTTTATTCATAGGAAACTGCAGATGCAAAATATGTTTCCAAGGAAAAGAAGTCACATTACATTTACTTAAATGAATATGCTCATTCTTATATAAAAAGTGTAAAAAGCTGAAAGAAAAGAAAAACTCTGGAGATTCCTCTGAGGAAACTAGTAATTAGTAAATAAAAGTTTAAGGGCAAAATATTTGTATTTTTGATACTTAAACTGACCTAACTTTTTATTATAAATGCATCAAGTGTACTCTGCAAGAAATTTTTTTTTATTAATAAAATAAACGTTCACGCTGAATAAAAAGTTATTTAAATTTAACTAAACACTTAATATAAAAATAAAAGATTTTTTGCTCAACAAAAATGCTTACTTTTTTTCTTTTTATTTAATCAATAGTTGTAACCAGAGAAACAAAATTTAAAATTTTCGATACCAATTTTTTTTCAATGAATAATATTGTACAAAAAAAAAGCTACAAACTTTTATGTACATAAATTGTACTGCCATTGAAAAATATTGTTTAGATATGTCATATTACTTAAATTGTTAATATGAAAAATAATTAAAAATTTTCAGAAAGCTTTTTGTTTTCGTTTATTTTAGAATTACATCAAAAGTTTCATGCGTGTATTCATAGGAATTCATGAATATTTTACCAGAATATTTCTTTATGCAAAATAATAAATACAAAGACTCTAAAAGTATGTAAGAATATGCTTACAATAAATTTAAAGAAAAGCATCATTTCCAACAAATATATTTAATAATAAAAATATACTCCATGTTTCTATTAAGTTTATATCTGAAGATCTAATTGTCAGATCTAAAAGTCTAATTTATTTTCAAAATAATGTATTATATATTATTAAAAAACAAAATAACACTTATTATCAGAGTTACTTATTTTAAACTGATTCATTTTCTAATGTTTTCCTTAAATTCATTTATTAGGCAAAAAGAAGCATTTTTCCTAATTTTTGTTTTATTTTTCTAAGAAGTTAGAAAAGTTTAGTACAAAATAAAACATCCCCAGAGCTGAAGTCTTTCACAATTTACACCTGCTTGTGAAGATGAAAACTTTAAAGTCATCGATTGTTATCAGACACACCTATACAAGCTTGGTTGACAGTTGGTTGAAGGTAAAACATGCATTTCCGTTGATCATGGTGTGGTCTTTTCCTCAGGTACTGTGAACTAACTATTGTTAAGAATTTTAAAAACGACAGACCTCAATAGATATTATCAAGAAGACTATTTATTCTGACAAGATAACACCATACACCAAAAAATAGCACTTTGCATGTAGAAGTGGCAATACTTGCATGGTAAATCTGTCGGGGTCATAAACTCCTCCAAGTTCTCTAAACAATTCAATACCTCTGGGTATTGATCCAGGAGTTCCCTTGTCTTCTGGATTGGTTTTAAAATTTCAACGCTATGTAGTTAAACATTGGCTCAAAATTGAGTCAGTCTTTCAACGGCGATTATAAAAAAAAACAAACTAATAATCAAACTGTATTTTCTTGTATTTTTTATAACTCCTTGCATATTTTCTACACACCTTCATAATTTTATGTTTCTAAGTCTAACAGATTTTGATCTGCAAAGCAAAATGTATGCCTTTTAGGAAATTGATTTTGATAATGTGATAGAAGATTCGCCACTCAAAAAGCGCGAAAAGTATAGTTACTTTAAATTTTCGATGAAAATAATGTATAAGCTTTTATAATTAATTTATACGTTTCTTACTCTTAAAATAAAAAAATTTTTAAAAATTATTCAAAAAACATTTTTTTTCTCTACATTTACTCATAAAGGGCCCCCAGCCCTCATAAAGGGCCCAGTCCAGAAGCCCAGGGCCCCTGTAAACATAAAAACGGCTCTGCATCAAATATACTAATTAATTAATCCAAACGATATTTTAAGTTAGGAAATTAGACATAAAATCGTTATCCGATAAGACATACCTTTTTTTCAACGGATTCGGATTTCTGACCCCCAAAATAAAGTAGTTTTAATTTAGAAATATTGTTTCATTAGTTTTTTCAGGAGCGCGCTTGAAAGTTAGCACCCTTTACTGTTAACTTTAGTTTTTGCGTATTTTACTACAGCCCACTTTTTTTTAAGCGAATTGAAAAAGTTTTGCATACAATTCCAATCTGATCAATCAATTCATATTACTTTTCTAAAGATAATTTAATGCAAAATAAAACTTTTAGTAAACATTTATTATTACTTTATTTAAGGGAAGTCGAGAAACTTAAGAAATGTAAAGGTGTACAATTTTTTCATCATTTGCAATTTTAAATGTCAAAATACAAAATTTAAGCAAAATCGGTCAAATAAGTCATGAGAAATAAATAAATAAAAATTAAAAAAAACTCTTATTTTTCGAAATTTGGTCTCCTAACTTCTTCATTTTTAGTGTCCATTTCTTGCGACTTAAATTTCGTAACTATGAAAGTAAATTTAAATTGTAGAGGAAACGCGTTGGTAAACAATAATCAATTAACTGTGTAAAAGGTTATTCGTTGCAGGCGTATGTCAATATGCAAAAAGCTTTTGCAGTGCGAAACAGAAATCATTTTAGAAAGTGTACTTTCAGCTTTGCAGAGAAACGAAAACATAGGCAGACAAACAGCAGCCACGTGTGGCAATTTTTTTTAAAAATGTAAGTTAGTTACTATTTGTTTCTCGGAGGCAAATTTAAAATTTGTAAATTGAAAAATAATCACAAACTTAAACTATATTGTTTGAATCTTATATTTTAAGCCGATAGACTTACTCTTTTTCTCAAATGGAGAAATTAGCATTTTACCGGACATAGATGTTCACTTTAATAGCATCTTTGAAAAGAAAAAGGAGACGCAAGGAGAAATTTTAAAAGTCTCTTTGTATTTATTTACAATGTATATTAACGTCGAGTCCCCTCATTAAAATAGCCTTTTTTTTTGTCCGTAAAATTATACTATGTAACATTAATAAAAAAAAATCGAATTTTACAATTTTATGGGCATAACCATTTCAAAGTTCGTTCAAAACGGGGCATGATATCTTTAGATGGAATACGTGGATGCAAAAAATGTACTTAAAACTTTATTTGCAAAACATTTAAATGATTCAAAAGCCTATCGATGCACATAAAAATAACATTTTATATCAAAATGTTCTTTAAATGTTTTGTTAAACGTGCATGAAATTTTAAATTTTTATTAACGAATAATTTTTGAGTTATGAGAGTAAGAAGCGTAGAAATTTTTCGAAATTGCGGTTACAGCTACAACTATTTTTTCTCATTACAGAAATAATTTTTACGCTTACAATGTATGGTAAATTGCACCATACAGTACAAAATACATCGGTAACAGAAAAAAAAATTAGATTTAAATTTACATTAAAAGGAATCTGTACATTATAGTATCAATATTAGTGATTTTAGATTCTTAGAAACACACTTGAAAAAAATGATGTGAGAAAAAAATTTAAAGTATAAAATTTGTTTTAATTTAAATATTTTGAATTAATTTGTTTGAGTCCCCCTGTCGGGGGAGACTTGGCCCCTTGTCGGGCAGAATCTGGCGCCACCCTTGATTAAAAACATTTAACATCCAGTTAATCCGAATTTATGTAATTTAATAATTATTCACACATAATTAGATATTTAAAAGAAAAATTAATTAAGATGCAAAGTTCAATTTGAAGTTGAGTGAAAGGAACTTTTAATACTTTATATATCTTAATTGCTAGTGCAATTATTTAATGGATAATAGTACTGTTATAAATAATTTATCAATTAAGAGTAGTCTCTCAGGAAGATAATCTTTTGATAAGTTACAAATGTTAACAAAAATGATAAAGAATTTCAATTTAATATGACTTTTAAAAAAGCTGAAAAATTATTATTTGTGTACTACTATTTGACAATACTATAAGGGTAATTATTGAAATTTAAAACTATATTAGAACTGCTTAAGAGTCCTAATCAATTTGCTATAAATTGTCTGAAGTGGAGAAAGTTCCTTTCCATGAACTTTAAATTAATCCTTATATATAATTTGATTTTTTTTAAAAATATATCTTATTTTATTCAAATAATGATAATGCTTAATATAACTAGAATGTAATAATAGAGTGAACAAAAATAATCGAAAAATTTTCACATAGAATAAATAACATACCTGTAAAAAGCCACTAAGCTGACTTATAACATTTCTGAATACATGTTCCTTTTTGTAAGTGTCAAACCATCCAGCTTTTGTCAGGCGAGCAAAGAGTTGGACTAATGCTTGAGTAACAAAAGAAGCTAATTTTGGCCAATTAGCTAAGTAGGTTAAAACATAATTTTCTATAAAAATAAATCGAAAATTAAAAAAATCCTTTGCAATGCAAAAAGAAAAATAACATATTTAATTGTTATTCTAACATGCATAATTCCTTAATTAAATTTACTGCTTTGTTTTCTTATAGGGAAGCATATCCAAAGTTGGAAACATTTTGTTTAAAACAAGCCTGCACAATAGCCAGAACTGAGTGGCCTGCAAAGGTCTTCATATAAATCAAAAAATAAGATGGATATTTTTTTCCCTGACTGAATATGATATTGATAGAAAAAGAACTTTAATTATATACCAACAGGTGGCAGCTCTAGCCTGGCCACAATTTTGCAGAATATGCCCAGCAAAAAAATAACGCAGTTTTCATGAAGATGTTTAAGTTATCATTAATATTTTGTTTTCTTTACAGGGATGAGAGTAGTCAGAAAGAAAAAAGAGGAAATCCCAAAAAAAAAAAATTATATATACATATATATAAACAAAAATGTGACAAAAAAAGTGCGATTTTTAAACTTGTAAACCATGTGAATATAAATCCCGATATGAGACTTTTAATTCACGTAAATATGAAACTCTACATCGGATTTAAAAAATGCGAAAATACAAATCATGATTTTTTAATTTTTTGATCACGATGCATAATTTTTAAATCGCGCGATATTACAACCACAAAAACAAATCACGATATTGGATTTTAAGCTTGCGTGAATACGAATTGCTACATAGGGCTTTAAAAGCTCATAAATACAAATCGCGATATTGATTTTTTAAATCTCGTAAGTAAGAATCGCAATGTACAATATTTAAATCGCCTGAATAAGAATCGCAACGTTCAACCTTTAAATCAGGTAAATACGAAAATCGAGATTTGATAATAAAATCGCGATTTTAAAAATGCATAAATACAAAACACGATATTGGATTTTTAAATGTCGTAAATAATAATAATAATATACGATATTGAAATAGTGTAAATAAGAATAGCAATGTGCAACTTTTAAATAAGGTAAATACGAAAATCAATTATTGATATTAAAATCGCGTGAATAAAAATCAAGATACTTGCAGAGTCTGAACTTGTGATTTCTAAAAGGCTTGTTTGTATTGTTTTTGTTTAGACATAATAAATAAAAATTTACAAGATTAATTGAATGAGCAAATAAATATTTTCACCGCAAATCCACCTCTATTTTTTTCCTCTTTTTTTGTTTGTTTTCACGCCAGAATACAAGAAGCAGCGACAACTGAATTACGAAAATACGAGCTATCCAGCCGACGGATAAAAAATACGGAAAATCTTATTTTCTGTGCGTGAAATCGGAAAAAAAATAGCTAAAATAAGTAAAAATGCGGAAGGGTTAGCAGCTAGGGCGCAGATTGAATTTTCTGTTTATCTTTGAAAATCGTAAATAAATATAATTATTTTACTTCAATGACTGAATTTTTAAAAATAAACAGGATATTTATTAGAAAAAACCGAACTTTTAGAGAATCGAAGTTTTTGATAAAAAGGCTGAAATTCGAGAGACAAAAAAAATCTCATCCCTATATAAAGGTCAACCAGTTTTATCCCTAGGAAATGATTTGTAGAGAAACTTCAGAGGGAGGAAAAGGGACTTCAATAATTTCCCTCCGCGGAAAATTAAATTCCTCATAAAATATTTTAACTTGTGCAAAAAAAAATTTCAAAAAAAAGCGGAAATCCGCGAATCCGTGGAAGAATCTCATCCCTGTCTTTAGTACCATAATTTGGAGATACACCATGATGTTTATGATTTTAAACCTTAAATTTTGGTACGGGCAGTGTATCTAATGAGGCTTATTCAAAGGCTAGATTAAAATTAAAAAATATATTAGAAAATTCAAATGTCCTTAAAATTTAAATAAATATATAAAAAAAAGTGGGTTATTCACGGGTATTAGAGTGATTGAAAACAAAAATTTCTAATTTAAAAAACTTAATTCTTGCAAAAATCTATGAAATGAACACCTCGGTTTCTCAATCCGTCCTGAAGACATAGAACTGTTGCCTACCTCCTCGCTTTTATTTGATTATTTTGTACAAACGTGCCAGTTAAGCATTCAAACCCTATTAGTCAACCTTTTTTTTTTTTAACTTGGTGTAATTTGTTTACCTCAAAATATCTCTTTGCTTGAACACTGAAAATTTTTTTTTATCATAGATAAGAAACTATAGTATGCTTAATAATGTGACATTATTAATTATCTTTCATTTTATAATTTATTTAACGTTATTCGTGTACAGAAAAAGTTGAAAGTTAATTTAACTTGTGGGATTAGTGGATATTTGTGCTGAAATTAAAAATTAAAAGTATCAAACAATTTTCAACTTGCTATTAGTAGCTTTGGAGTTTTTCAGAAAAAATATATTTCTAGAAATAAATCTGTCGTAGATTTGTCTGAAAGATATTATAAGTTTATATGTTATATTAAAAGTTAATATGAAAAAAGAAGAATATTAGAGAATTCTTATGGGTATTAAGCATAAAAAACTTGCTAGGCCAAGGTTTTAAATGTGTAAATAGCGTCATTACTAACATAATGTGAATAAATTTAGATTAATTATTAAAATTTCTTGAAAATATTTTAATGCTTAAAATGAAAAAAAAAAGGTTGTAGCCGAAATTTTCTTATATTTGACAGATATCTAATTTTAAGGGTTATATGGATTATATTAAACTACTATTTTTATAACAGAAATTTTGAAAGTGTCAATAAACTTGTATTGTTGGAATTTAATTCTAGATACTTCAAAAGTTAATACCTTATGTTACTTTTAAGAAATTAAATACTTTTCAAGGTCAATTTAAGAAAACTAAACATTTTTTTTTTCAAACATCAGACAATTTTTAAGTATTCAGTTTTAGTTGCATTACATGATTTCAGAGTTTCTCCAAAACATGACAGCCAACTTAAAAACTAAATCATGATGAAATTACAGGAGATGCTGAAAGCGCACACTTTTAATATAGCTAGCTTTTGATGAAAATCTAAGCACTTCTCAAATCAATTAAACAGCTGCATTAAAAAAAAATCATGCAAGTTGGCAGCAGCCTAGCACCAGCATTCATACAAACAACAATTGCCTTAAATTTGCATTGTAATTTTCAGCACATTATCTGCATATTACCTATTAAAAACCATGAAAATCATAACTGCAGAAAAACTGGCAGCACGAATAATCTGTCAAAATTATTTCCTTCATATCAGACATTGTGAATTTCTTATCAACTTCCATCAGTCATGAAAGTATAAGAGACCATTCACATTGTAGGGGGAAAATTCCCGCTTGCAAATTTGGAGATGCGAACACGAACTTTATTGATGAAATATATTTACCCATAAAAAAACTCTCCACTCATCTCCAAATTCACACACACTTTTTATTGTATCCAGTGTAAATGCCCTTTCAATATTATCACGTGTCTGCTTGCTTGTTTCCCTGCTAATGCCCTCAGGCTTACATGTAACGCAGATTCTGCCAGTGAGAGGGGTTTGCACAGTTAAAATATTTAAATCATAAAAAGTAGATTGCTGCAGTAAATGAACTAGTGCAAAATCAGCAGATTCTATTACAGCATTGGTTATCCACTTAGATTTTTCCTTTGGGCTATGTGAAATACCTGCGGATTATGCGCTATCATGAATAATATTCAGGAAATTGCGGTACTAACTACTGAAATGCAACTTTGGTTAATATGCATAGAAACCATTTATTCATGCTTGTTATAAATCTTAAAAGTAATAAAATACATGAATTTGTGACCGACAAATAAGAGCTATAAAATTTGTTGTACATACTTATTTCAATTCTTTGTTGCAAAGTTAGAGTCTGTGGACTTCTAGAAACAAGCTTTGTAAGAGTGGTAGCGGCAAGGAGTTGAGCATAAGAAGACTATATGAAAAGGAAATGAAAAATAATTTCTTAATACGATGATGCTAAACCAATACAAAGTTCTTCAAGTTTTTACTGAGTGGCTCAATCTGTCCCGGCACTTTTTATCTTTCCTTCCCTTGAAAATATTACTGCTTTTTTTATTCTTTTGAAATTGATTTCTAAAGAAGATATTATCCCATGTATTATTTTAATATAGAATCAATTAATAAAGAATCAATGTTGCCTCCTCTTTAAAAAAATTAACTTAAAAGTGGAACGGGTTTGTTTTTAAAACTTTTAGTTTAGCATAAGGGTAGAGATATCTTGGTCATAGTACCTTTGCACTAGATAAGACCAGACATATTCCGTTGGCAATACTGTATTGGTTAAAAATTCAAACACCACTCTGTGAAATCAGTTTTTTTTAAGAGCAATAATAAAAAACCTTTAATTAAACTATTAATATATCTTGAACTAATGCTACAATTAAAATAAAGATGGCAAATAACCATTCTTTTTTAGCCACATGGCTCAAAATACTTTGACAAAAAATCGTTTTCTTTCTTTTCCAAGGTTGATTTTTATGTATTTAAAACAGAAGGTCAAATAATTGCTTAAGCCCCAAATTAAAAGTAATTAACCATTCAAAAGTATTTCATAAAAACATATTTTATTGTTCTTAACAAAATTTTTATACCATAAATATACTAATGCAATAATAAAAAAGAATAAAGACTAGATATATTTAAAATATGCTTTAATTTTACTTTACAACTCCACTTAACATGCAAATAAACACACAACATCTAAACGCTATCTTAGATTACACATATAAAAGAGCAATTTCTCCCCTTGCTTTCCTGTAATATGAAAATGTCCCACTTCAGCATTATTTACAGTAATATCAATATTTAGCAGTATACAATTTATAGCATGATAAATAATTAAATTTTATAAAATAAATATTTATTGTTCTTGATTTACTGAATTTCTATAAATTCTTAAATTAAATATTTAAGGCGGGGTACAAAAGTTTTTGACATGTGTCAGTTTTTGATGGTTTTAATTATGGATAAAACTGTAATGTCAAAAACCATGCATCAAAAATCTAAAAGGATTGTATTTATATATTGGAATAAATTCATTATTATAATTCATGTCATAAATAACAAATTACATGCAATGTCTATGTTGTTAAATATTAATTTTTTTCCTTATACAATTTAACAAATGTTAAGAAGAAAAGATCTAGAGAAAAAAAAACCTCTTTTACATAAATATACTTAAAATTTAAAAATTCAGACCATTCTATGCTAATCAAAGATCAGCTGGAAATTATAGTTTAAACTGCTTTACACAAGACATTCTAGTAAAAGTGCTATAATTCCCTAACATAAAAAAAATATATAGATATAGTAAGCAGAAGGGGCAATTTTCAGTGGCTTCTGCAGTTGAGCAAGAAAGCATTCATTGCAGTAGGTTACTCAGGGTGTGTAGCCAAATTTTTCAACAAAAAATAAGCACTTTTCAAGCACTCAAAATATATTTTTAACACTTTACAAAAATATCGATGACAAGTTTTTGACAAGTGACGGTTTTCTTTGGTTTTAACCGTCATATTAAAAAAAACTTTTCACATAATTTTGGACAATTGTCAAAAACCCCTCATAGGTTAAGAGTCCCCTTGCCATTGTTGGTTTAACCATGAAAGGTTTTCGTGATTTTCCTTTCCATGTAACGCAAATGCAGGTTAGTTCCATCAAAGAGTCCTACATGAAGGTAAAATTTCACCCACTACTTGATCTAGAAATTCCCTTGTCTTCTGCATTGGGTTCAAAATTACAAAACTAATCAGTTGAACATTAGTAGTTGAATACCCAAAATTTTGGTGGAAGGATAATTATTAGCCATTACAAATATGAAATAATTTTAAATTAATATGTATGTAAAATTACAAATTATATTCTTGAATTATTTGAACATGTAATTCCTTCTCTTTTGAAAATTAATGTCAAAAATCTAAATTTTGATGGAGAAAATATTAAATAATTATAAATAAAAATGCTTGAAATTGCGATTTATCCAATCCCTTAATTTGTTTATTTAATAAAAATTAAAATACAAAAACAATCATCTTATAAAAAAACCACTTGACAATCATCTTATTCTTTACATGTAAAATAAGTTTTCATTTACTTTCAATTTAACACCTCTTTTCCTCAAAGCAAGTGATTACAAAAAAATTAAGCCCTCTATACCATAAATACCTCTATACATACTTGAAGTTCAATTTTCAGTTTTGCATGAATAAGACTGAAATTCAAAACTGCTCTTTTGATAGATGCTCAGCTGTATAGACTAGAATGTTGATATACTGATACTATTATAACATACAATATTTTTTGGCGAAAGCGCCGCACATCGATAAAAATGAAATTTTTAAAAAAAAGGTTATAGTAAGCGCCGCAATTGCGCTAAACCGCCCATATCAGCATCCTTTTAGAAGAGACCTTTAAATTACCATTTAGAATATCAGCATAATAAAAATTTTTTATGCATTTCATAAAGTAAAGTTTTAATTTCTAAATTATAATAAAAAATTTCTTTTTCAGCAAAAAAAAGCAACAAAAAAAGTTCTCTTTCAGCAAAAAAAGAAAGAAAAAAAAAAGAAAACAACAAAACGATATAAAATAAAGTTGTTCTTACCAGTTGGCACCGTGCCAAAAAACAGAAGAACAGCAAAAAAATATTTATATGATCTATGTTCAGTAGCTGAATTAACGCTGAACTGATTACGGAAATCCGTAAAACAATGTAGTAAGAAAAATAAAATAAAAATTTATTAAAAGAAAGATTTTAAAATATTACCGTTTACAATTTGAAGAAAAACTACTACATAATAACGAAACAGCTAATAATAACGAAATAACTAATAATAACAAGAATAAGAAATAACTAAACAGGCCCCAAAAAAATTCTGAAGGAATGAGCGAAGGGGAAATAAGTTTCACTTTCACAATCTTTGGGGGTGTAATTTTAGTGGGTAGAATGCAGGGCTCGAAAAACAGCCCGTCCTCGGCGATCAAAAATTCCCCGCGAACAACGAATTTCTCTTATCCGACGTCCGCGCGGACGGCCATTTTCCTGTTAATGTTCGTGATATATTTTCAATTTTCATTATCTTACAACAGTCCTACAAGTTACAAGGCAGCAAAATGACCCACAATACAGCAACATACTACGCATGTTGGAATTGATGATTTCTCTGTCTGGGAGTACTGCAGCGGTTGAAAGGGGCTTTTCAGCAATGAACTTACAAAAAAAAACACATTACGTACTGGTCTTAAACAAGAAGCGTTATACGCAATTATGAACATCTATCTAAATGGAAAACCCCTTTCAGATTTCTGTGCAGAAACCTCTGTAAATCATTGGCTAGATTGTGGAACTGGCAAACGTCATATTCTATTCATTTAAAAAAACGCAGTGCCCTCGGATAAATTGACATTCCAGATAACTTGACCTTTGTCATTTAAATTATTTCATAAAAGAAAGAAATTATTTCATAACAGAAATACTAGGTAACTACTAGTAACCTAGTATTTCCTTTATTACTGTATAATGTAATCCTAGTAACTACTAATTCATTGTGCAATTTATATAAATGTTTGTAATAAATAAGAGAAAATTATATTTTTATTTATTTAGAAGCTACAGGTTAGTTTCAAAGGAGGACGGGTACATTGTTGGACAAGCCGTCCTCGGGGACGAGTAAAATTTCTGAGTTTTTTCGAGCCCTGGTAGAATGTCCTCTCCTTCAATGGAAATAACCCAATGTGACCAAACTTAGAAAGAGAAGAAAATGTTTAAAAGAATGACACGTGCTCCTCAACGTGTCATTTCTACTGGAGCTGTTTAGGAGGAATCAATCAGTTATATTTTAAAGGGGTATAGGATCCTTAATCCAGCATTCCAAAATTCTGCACTTAATCTGATATAATTTCTTTTCTTTAAAGAAATTTATATTGATAAGACAAAAAAAAAATCAGCTATATTCTTTTTATTTGGAATTAACTTGGTAACTTACTTTATTTTATCTTTTAAAAATAAAAAAGCTTGAAAAAAAAATACAGGGCTTAATCCAGGTTTTCAATCCTAGTACCTATTTTTGTGAAAATTTTTTTATTTTTGTGAAAATTAAGTATTGATTTAAAAAAAATTTAAAAAAATTTTTTTTTTGTAACAAAACTTGAATTGTTTTGCTCTTCAATCATTGGTTCCGTAGCATTTTTAATACACTGTGCCTCGTTATCAACTGTGACGGTTTTTTCAGACGGCGACTGTTGTGACGTTTTCTCCTCAGTTTTTTCAGACTGAAAAAAAGTTTTAATTGATTTCGTTCCTATACTATCGATCGTGCGTAAACGCTTCATATAATAATCGCTATTCCGTGAGCCACCCGCTCCACTTAAATTTCTTCCTCGCTTCATTATAAAAACTTTTCATAAATCTTGTTCATAGAACACGTTTTACGCTAAATCATAACAAAAACACTTGTCTGGGAAAATGAGTTGAGTTGTTTACACGCTGGCTCAATTTAGCCGGTTGCCTAGTATAAAAACTTCACCACTCACTCCGATTGAATGGCGTATTTAGGAGAAGTGACGTCAGCATATCAAGCCTGTTTTCGAGCTAGTGCGGTTGCGCGGAACGCCGTCCGATGGCGTACCATACGGCGCTCACTGTGAATCCACTTTTCCGTGAACCGCTCGGAAAACTATTCAGCACTTTAATTCCTTCTAACTTTCTTTTTTATTTTCGTGAAGATGCGTTTTTTTTCAAAGTTTGTTGAAGTACTGGTTTTCTTTTGTGAAGGTACCGATTTTTTTTTTAATTTTGTGAAGGTATCGCTTTTTTTTTTTTTAATTTTGTGAAGGTACCGAAAAACGGTACCAAAATCGCCCTGGATTAAGCCCTGAAATAATAAATCTGTATCAAAGGAAACATCTGTTTCTTAAGCAGTTTAAAATAAATTGAGAAGTAAAAACACCTGCATTTCCAATGAACAAAATAAAGAAATGCAAGTTGGAAAAAACTGATCAATCAATCTTGACAGCTGGGCTTGTGCTTTACTGATTTGCCCCCACATTTCCCTCCTCTGTTTGACCATAAATTGGCCACACCCAGTTGACATTGAAAGTACCATGTGGACAACAAAATGAATTCTATCCCTTTTGCAGTTTTTTATTCCATTCATAAATTTTTTTTATTTTGCCGCTTTTTATTAGTTATTAACTGCTACTTTGTTTTTTTTCTTGTTATTAGTTGTTTGCTTATTTTTTAATTTTTTATCTTTATTAGTTTTTAGCTTGTTTTTTGTCGTTATTCATTGTTAGTTTCTTAGCATTAATTGTTAAATTTTTTTTTTGCAGTTCCTTGTTAGCTTTTTTTTCTTGCGAGGTAAGCCTCTTTTGTTAAAACAAAATGTTATCTAAAAGAAAAAACGAGAACTATGATCTTGCTCCAAAGAAGAAACGATTATTTCTTCTTCATAGGATTCGGATTATTTCTTCTTGATTATATTATATAGATTATTATTTTGATTAGTAAAATTTCTTAAGATGGGCCAGTTTTAAATTCACCCCATCATAATCTACGATCGAAACTTGACTAAATTAATTGGTTTTTCTGAAATTAACAATGGATATTTGGAGGACATATTGGAATTTCCGAAAGAGATCCGAATTTCGGCATTTCGTCAGTCCCGTGAGTGTCGGAATTAGGGTCCTATTACTTCCTTTTCATTCGCTCAAATTATAATTGCCGATGCTCTGCAACAAATCGCAATACGGGCGAATATTTCGTCGACTTCGTTATTAATTTTTTTTTTATAGTCTTTCTCTCAAAAAATTATTTAATCTTAAATAACTTTCCTTGAAAAAAATTTTTGCTAGTAAAAAATATTTCGTCGGAAGCGCCGCATGTAGGAAAAAAACAACTTTTTTTTCGATATCGCCGCGGGGCTTCCGCCGAAAAATACGGTACTTAAATAATATGTAAATAGGAAATTTATTCTAATAACTGTACTAAATATTGATAGCAACTTAACTAAACTCTTGAATTGATTGATTGATTGATTATTAACTCATTTAAACAAACATTTATATTTTTGTAAATTAGAATTCACTTATTGATCAAGGAATATATTACAGATGCGATTTATTAAAAATATTCATGTACAGTGCACAAAATAAAAAATGGACTATCCTAAATAACTTTTGGCCTAATTATTGGATCTTTATGTCCGAGGGCTCATTCTTAATGGCTCAAGCGGCTGACGTCAAATATGCTAATTAATTAGCGCAGGTGATATTTTAAGTTATGAAATCAGACACTAAAACATACTTTTTTTTTAATAAGCATATCTTTTTTCAACTGATTCAGATTTCTGACCCCAAAATATGGGGGTAACCGCAATCTGGGAAATATAGATCCAATAGTTTGGTAAGGAGAGACGTCCAAGGTTTGGGCTCCTTAATGCTAAATTTAAATTTTGCAAAGCTTGGGCTCCTTAATTTTTGTATACTTCTTAAGCGAACTGAAAAATATTTGCACACAATTATAAAATCCATTTATTCAAATATAATTTCATGCAAAAAATAATTTTTTGCAAATATTTACTATTTCTTATTATTTTATTTAAGGATAGAAAGAAAAATTTTGAATTTTAAGTTATATAATTTTTTACATTGAATAAAAGAATATAATTTTCAAAGAAAAAATACAAAATTTAAATGAAATTAGTTGAATAGTTCCTGAGAAATTAAATTTCAAAAAAGTGGTACTTTAAAAATTTGTTTTCTCAGGATCTCTTTGACCAATTTCATTCAGATTTTGTATTTTGCCATGTAAAGTATATTCGATAAAATGATGTAAAATATTGTATACCTTACAATTCAAAATGATTTCGACTAATATTAAGTAAAATAATAAAAAATAATAAATATTTTTTTTAAAAGTCATTTTTTGCATAGAATTATCTTTGGATAAATGAATTTTATAATTTTGTGTAAAAAGTTTTCAATTAGCTTTTAAACTTCTTGATCTATGGCGAAAAAAGCTAAAAGTAAGATTAACATTAAGGGGTCTATACTTTAGAAAGCTCTATTGAGCAAACTATTAGGAGAATATTTTTCAGATTGCGACTACCCCTTATATTTGAAAGGGGTCAGAAATCCAAATCCGTCGAAAAAAGGCATGTTTATTCAGAGAAATAATGTTTTTCTGTCTGATATAGTAACTTAAAATTATCATATGCACTAATTAATTATCATATTTCAGGTCATCCTGTCGAACCTTCAAGATTGAGTCTTAAAACATAAAGATCCGAGCATTAGATTAAAAGATGTTAAGGGTGGTCCGTCAGAGAAAACTCGTCGGAGAAAAGAATATTGCACCATTCATTTCTCCACTAGCTCAAATGCTCTATTGCCCACTCTCTGCAGGCGTAACAGTGCCTTGCTGTTAATGTGACACGCACCATTGGTTGGCAAGCATGCAGATCTACAGCCTGAAGGCAGTTTCTGACAGTTTAAGTCGAAACTGCGGTGCCAGTAGCCGAGCAAAAGTGTTGATGAAGAAGAGTGGCATTTATTTTTTGATGTTTACGAGCCGTTAGCATTAAATAACAGTCTTCATTGGGTACTGTTGCACATCTACGCCCTTACCCTGATATTCGGCCTGCATTTCCAGTCTCCAAAAAACAGTTGGTTTCAGATCCTAGAAATCACACTTTGTAAAACTCCAATGGCCTCTGCTACTTCAACTTGTGATTCGCTCCCTCTAACCTGCCAACAACTCTCCAAGCTTCAAATTCGGTTAAATTACTTCATTAAGACTCCTCAAAACGTGCTTCAATCAGTCTTTTCCATTTGGTCTTACATTAAGTTGAAAGTCAAATCAAATTCACTGCTGCTAAAGTGTTGTCTTCGATGCCTAAATTTGCATTTGTGACTCTCTTATTCCATTTCATGCAAAAAAAAATTGCTTTTACTGTTATTTTATACAAGACTTACCCTATCCTTTAATTGTTTTGAGCAGCCAATATATATATATAGTATGTGTCAGTAAATCTTCCATAAAAAGTTGTAAAAATGAGTATGTAATTGTATCAGAAGGTACTGTGAAACTGTATTGTGGAATCAGAGCATTAACCCAAATAAAGAGGATATTCATTTCTTACAATGGATTTTTTCTCTTTATTTATTTAGGGTTTGAAAAATGCTAGTAACCAAAATTTCATGATATGACTAATTTGTTTTTAGCCAAAGTTATATTTTCGATGAGCATTAAAATCCAATCAGTGATGTTTTATATCACATAAAATAAAAAGTTCCTGAAGCAATTTTTACATAGATATAAAATGGTTATTTTATGACAAATATGCCTCTTTTTGTTTTACACTGATAAACAAACACTAAAAAATTAAAAAAATCTGTCGATTAATGCCCTTTAAAAGATAATATAACTATGGCAAAAGCCTCAATTGTCATATTTCACATACAAAACTGGTATGAAGCACACTTTTTCGCTGGATGTGCATATCACATAGCCCATTAACTCTAACTCAAACAGCTGTTACATTCATGTATTCTCACATAGCAAAGGTAAAAGAAAGATGATTGACTTTCAACTGTGAGGCAGCCAGTCTTATCTTTCATCTTAATTGTTTTGTCTCAATGCTATTTGTCTCATATTTGAGTAATAAATGTCTTATTAAATTATTTATGGTCTTTGCTTTTTCCCACATATATTACACATTAAACTAATGATTATAATAATCGTAAAAACTTCGCAAGATTATGACATTGAAATAATCCTTCTAGGTTTTCAACCGTTTTAACCATTTTTGATGCTTTAACGCTTTGACACTTTTCATTTTAAAAAGCAGACATCTGATTAAAGGCAATATATTTTATTGATTTAAAAAACGTATAAAGATAACAGAACGGTGAAAAGAAACAAAATTGACAAATCTCATAAAACTAGTTAAAGTATGTTTTAGTATTAGTGGCATAATAATAAAGGAGGAACAAAATACTTTTTCCCCATTTCTTAAATGTAAGGGCTTTTGAGTTTAACAATATGCTTATTAACATAATGCAGTATTAAATAATATACTATAAAATTAAGATATTTAAAATAACTTCATATTTTTTTTATAAATAAAAAATTTATCAATTATGAATAAAAACACAATGCATATATACAATGCAAATTTGTTTACACTGATATTAAAATATAGAAAGAAAAATAAATTCTGAAAATAAAGTGAAATATAAAGTGCAAGTTCAGAAAAGTATTTCATTCTTGTTCATGCTTTTGATTGTACCTAAGAGAATGCATCTTTAACAAGATATTAAAAAAAAGTACTTCTAACTTTTTATCTTAACTGCTTCAATAATTACATTATTTAACCAACTAAAAAAGCTATCAAAACATGGATTTGGTGGATTAAGTAAATATTAAATGATACATTAGATAAAGGAATATATTAAATAACAACATTAAGTACATTATTTTAAATCAGCTAAAAAAATAGCAAATTAATAGATAATAGTTAAGTAAAAATCTATGTTATATTTAATCAGGCGTTTGATAAGGACTGCTGAAATATTGGAAAAATATTTTGCATTTTTCCAACCCCGATTATAGAAAAATTTATCGACAAAATATGTTAATAAGTCATACTTTTACAACAAATAAATAGTAAAATTAAAAGTATTACATCTCCCCTTTCTAACAGCATTCGACATCTCATCAAGCAGTCTGGGGCATGAACAAAATTGACAAGGGCTTTTTCTGCTGTGGCCCTTTCTTCAGGATTACTTGCATCATAAAATTTCTTGCATAATGCCTCTAACTGCACCAACTCCTAAACAAGAAATACTCATATCATTAGACAAATTCTAATTACAAAAGATGTTCAGTTATGACTTCTGTTATATATATATATATATATATATACACAGTATAAATTCGAAAATCCATGCTATTTAGAGGTTTTCAAGATACAGCTTCCAGGTATTTAACTTAAGCCAATAATCAAAGTTAAGACCCAAAATCATTAAAAAAAATGTATTTGATCCCATCAAAAACATACACAGACATGTGACTGCTAGAAGAAAAAATTATCTAGAAAAAATTTCTCATTTTGTTTTAGTGCTTTAATTTTTACCTTTTTGTACATACAAAATAAATAAAAGACTGTCATTTTTATGTACATAAGTAAAAAACATAAAATTTATGTATATAAAATTTAATGAGAAAAAGAAAAGCTTTCTTGTCTAAGAAATTTTTTCTAACTAACAAATAAAATAATATATACATTGAAAAAAAATTACATATTCCTCTTTTTCCCAACTTTGCAAGTTGTTATTGCATCAAAGAAAACAATTTAAAAATTTGGAATCCACAGCAATAACTGAAAAAAGATAGGTGAAAATACCATGTGCAACTAGAATGAAATCATAGAAATCAGACAAATCAAAAAGGGGTTAATTAAATACACGTTTCAAGATTTATGTTGTTGTAGTTCATTTACGTTGTACTAGAGCAGCACAATGGGCTATTGGCGACGGTCTGGGAAACATCCCTGAGAATGATCCGAAGACATGCCATCACAATTTTGATCCTCTGCAGAGTTGTAATAAATATTGTATTAAAAATAGCAAGATTTTAAAAAAATATATGATAATAGTGATAACTGAGGAAAAATTGATTGAAAAAACGTTAGAGTTAATGCATCAAATAGAGCAGTGGTCCCCAACCCCCGGTCCGCGGATCAAATGGTACCGGGCCGCCCATTTCATTGAAACTGAATTTAAATTCCTTGGTTTATACCTCAAATTAAAAATATCTGTGTTCCATTAAAATTTTTATTTATTTAAAAAAAAAAGATGCCCTCGATGGTAGTAACATAAATTTTTTAATGTTTTAAAAAGTTAAAAAAAAGAAATCTTCTGTAACTATTTTCTCATTCGATTAGTTTTAATAAAAAAAAACAATCATCGTAACTGTAAATATCATAAATAAAAAACGAAAGCGTGACGCGACATTTGCATTGGAACTAATAAAGAACTTGGTCTTCACTCTCGATTCTGATGCCTCACACACCGAGAGTGTATAGTAAGGCTATAAAAGAGAAGCTGGCTCGTCTGCCATTTAGTCGCCCAAAGACCACGTGACCATGATTCCTCTCTACTGTTTTGAGTGCTTTATGCGGTTTTGTTTGTTTTTTGTAAAAAGAAAGTGTCTATCACCCCTCTCTCTGTTCACCGGTACTTTCTCAGGTTTAACAGTGCTTGGTGTACGTGTGTATTGTGTCTGCACAAATTTAACTCACAAGTTAGCAAAAATTAATACAAAACAGACGTCCTTGGAAAAAAGAAAAGGCTCAGTGAAGAGACCGAAGAGCCCGCAGCATCAAAGAAACATGCAACTTTAAACAGACAATACTATGAGTCCTACTTGAAGTATGGTTTTGTCGGGACAGGCGATTCACACAAACCAAAACCACTCTGCATAGTTTGCGGTGATCAACTCTCTAATGACGCAATGAAACCTTCAAAACTGCTTCGCCACTTGAACGCCAAGCACCCTGGATTAAAAGACAAGTCCCTGGAGTATTTTGAAAGAAAAAAACAGGAACACGAAGGACAGAAAAAATTTATGATGGCCACCACATCAATAAAGGAGAGTGCACTAAGAGCATCATATTTGGTGGCTAACCGCATTGCTAAAGCTAAAAAGCCATTCAATATTGGTGAAGAATTAATCTTGCCCGCCACTAAAGACATTTGCCGTGAAATACTAGGAGAAGCTGCTGTGGAAAAGATAGCACATGTGCCTTTGTCGGCTAGCACTGTGACTAGGCGCATTGAGGAAATAGCCGAAGACATTGAAAAGCAATTGTTGGAGAGGATTAATGCATCACCGTGGTACGCACTCCAGGTTGACGAATCTACAGATATTGACAGCAAGGCAGTACTACTTGTTTATGTGCGATATCTATATCAGGAAGATGTGCATGAGGATTTGTTATGTGCACTATCTTTGCCAACCAACACCACAGGAGCAGAACTGTTCAAGTCACTGGATGGTTATATATCAAGACAACTAAAATGGTCCTTTTGTGTAGGCATATGCACAGACGGAGCTGCTGCTATGACCGGACGTCTATCTGGTTTAACTGCTCGGATTAAGGAAGTTGCACCTGAGAGTGAAGCTACACATTGTCTCATTCACAGGGAAGTGCTAGCAAGCCGAAAAATGTCACCAGAATTTAACAGCGTATTGATTGATGTCGTTAAAGTTATTAACTACATCAAAGCACACGCCCTTAACTCGCGCCTGTTTGAGCAGCTTTGTGAGGAGATGGACGCAGAGTACAGATGCCTTCTGTTATACACAGAAATAAGATGGTTATCCAGAGGAAAATCGCTACTGAGAGTATTTGAATTGCGAGAGCCATTGCAAAGATTTCTCTTAGAAAAGAAGTCACCGCTGGCAGCACATTTCAGTGACAAGGTATGGGTCACCAAACTGGCTTACCTGTGTGACATATTCAACCTGCTGAATGAACTCAATCTGTGCCTTCAGGGGAAAATGACAACTGTTTTCAAGTTGGCTGACAAAGTAGCTGCCTTTAAAGCCAAACTGGAGTTATGGGGACGACGCGTGAACAGAGGCATTTTCGACATGTTTCAGACATTAGCGGGTATTTTAGGCGAGACAGAGCCTGAAGATTCATTCTCCCAGTTGGTTCACGATCACCTGTCTTTGCTTTTAAAAGAGTTCGAGCGCTACTTCCCAACCACAAAAGACCCACGAACTGGTAAGGAATGGATCCGCGACCCATTTGCCAACAAATCGGGTGAATCTAGCTTGTCAATGCAAGAAGAAGATCAACTGTTGGAGATTGCAAATGACGGCGGCCTTAAGACTACGTTCGAAACAACAACTCTGCCGGTGTTCTGGATTAAAGTCTTGGCAGAATACCCCGAGATTGCCACCACAGCACTTAAATCCCTATTGCCATTTCCGACAACCTATCTGTGTGAAGCGGGATTTTCTGCAGTAACAGCAACCAAAACAAAGCAACGGAATAAACTGGAGATAAGCAACACACTTCGGGTGTCATTGTCTCCGATTACCCCCAGATGGAGCCGTCTTATTGCAAAGAAACAAGCTCAGGGTTCTCATTGATGTAACGTTCAAGTAAGTTAAAATGTTAAATCACTTTATTTTTTGGTGTAACTGTATTTTATTTTAAAGGTATGTTTAAATACAATTAAATTAAAATTATAAAATCAAAATAATCTAAAATATAAACAATCAATGCCCCCCCCCCCCAGTGGGCCGTGGTAAAATTATCAAACGTTGACAGGTCCGCGGTGATAAAAAGGTTGGGGAACACTGAAATAGAGAATACTTCAGATTGTGATTAGAATTCCTTGTATTACCATATCCTCCAGATTTTAAGAAATCATATAGAAATCAACAGCAATAGCAATAATTGCAACAACAAAAAAAATTCGAAACACTGCATGGAATTTGCACAAATTGAGCATGCCAAATAATAGTAATTTAAATGTGATTTGAATTTCTAGATTCTTAAGAATATTGTAAGAAAAAATAAAGATTTAAAAATCCAGGAGGATAATGATGTCAAAACTATGAAAAAGTTGAACAAAAAAACGTATCTTTATGTCAAAAAGTCACTAATAAATACACAAATTGAATTTTGTGTGTCATGTGTCATAAATAAACAGTTCAGTGATTAAAATAAACATTGAGATAATTCAGACCAATAATAGACAATAAGATTGAAACATTTCATGATTTTATGATGGTATTGACGCAAATGAAATCATCATAAAAAAATGCATTAAAAAAAGATTATTCAAATGCAAGAATCGTAATAATATGGGATTTTTAAAAACCAAGAGAAAATCAATTGAAGTAATTTCAAAAAAATTTTAACACAGATTTGTGATGGTGCTGAGTGTGTTGAAAAGTGATTACTAAAATACACCATTTGAAATTTTAATGTCGTAATATCTCATCAAAAATTAATACAAAACGAAAACACTTCCGTATTGTGATCTATAGCACCTATTACAATTACCAAGGCACCAAATGGATTTTAAACTTGCAATCAAGGAGATAAAAAAGATGATGAGGTTTGCCAAAGGGAAGCTACGAATTATAGCCTTCATGATAGTCCTTTTCAAAGAAGTTTTTTCTAGTTTCTTGTGGGCTATTACCTGGAAGTGGCCATGATTTGGCAATTATTCTGCCGCACATCATGATATAGAAAATTTCCTTTAACACAATTCAGTTTGTATGCTTCTGAGGTGCTTCGTTGTTTTCTTCCGTATACCATTGCCTGGTTTTCACCAAAATTTGGTTGAGAGCAAATGCAAAAATCCTCTCAATCACACAATGCTACAATTAGTTTTAAATAAATTGCTTTTCCTCCTTTTAGCTTGAGTTTTAAATGGATTACATTTTGTTAACTCCATTTTTTTGCACTTCTAATCTTCTGCTTTAAAGAAGCAAAAAGTGATATCAAAATACTACTACGTCATGTAACTAAACTGATTTTGATGAAAAAAATGTACCTTTCTTCATTTACTTTTTCTAATTTATAGAAGAGACCTGGCAGTATTAGTCGCCGATTTGACGACGTCAGTTGGCGCAAATATGCACCGATATGAAAATTAGAGTTGGGAAAATAAGACAATTGTAATCTTGAATAAACGGAGTTAATTTATAGAAAACACCAGGCAGTGCTAGTTGGCGCTTTGGCGATGTCAGTTGGCGCAAACATGAACCGATATGGAAATCAGAATTGGGAAAATAAGACAAATATAATCTTGAATAAATGGAGTTAATTATTACAATGATTAAACAAAAATAAACGAATATTTCGACAGTCAGAGGTAATTACAAGTAATAAATAACTTTTCCAAAAAATCAATCAAAATTTATATCAAAGCAAAAATAATTCTCCAAATGTCATTTCAAGAACTATTTATAAAATTGCTGTATGTTTCTGATCATTCTTTTTATTTTTGTTTTGTCTGACTCGCATTTCGGTGGAAGCACATGCCGGATTGTTTACTATCAGAAAAAATATACCAACTCTTATTTTAAACTCAGTATATACGTTAGAAAAAATAAAAACAAAATTTAATGAGCATCTAAAAGCGTTACTTCAGTGTAAAACGCTGCAATTTACAAAAATATTCAGTTAGGTTTCAATATAAAACCTCATAAACGTTATCTAATTTACAACACTTACTTGCTCATCCGCCATAGTCTTATAAAAATCCAAATAATAAACAGACATGCTCGTTACATAGAGTTAAATATAAAAAAAAATCCGAAATATCTAAAGCATAGGATGTATCGGATATTTCTAGCTTTAGTTTTAGCCGGAAGATGGCGAGATAAACACTTTCAGGCTCGACTTAGACTTAGTTTGGAGTAGTCTTCAAAATGATTTGATAATTTTCATTACATTTTTGTAATATTATTTAGTCAATGATGGAGTTATTTTATTTTTAACTAGGAGAAAAACTGAACAAAATACAGAAACAGTTAGAAGTTCAGCGTTCAGGATACTTTTGAAAAAGAAAGAAAGAAAAGTTACAACAATTGTGTAAGACAGATGAATAAAAAGTTTTTTTTTCTCTGTTTTTTTTTTTTTTTTTTTTTTNTTTCATATTTTTTTTTTTTTTTTTTTTTTTAAATCCAAACCTTATGACTTTCCGTTCAGATTATATGAACAAACAAGCATTTAACAAAAGGCTATTACGCAAATTTCTAACTATTATGAAAAAAAAGGAAATTCATTACATGCATTCGACCTTTTTATTACAGCCTATTTATTACACATTATTTCAATACTTTTTGCAACTTTCAAACCAAAAGATTTTAGTGGTATCCCAGATAGCAAAAAAAAAATTTTTTTTTTAACTCAGCAAAAACCTTTTAATGTAAAGCTAAAAAAGTTTGTTATGCGGTTTACGTGTAAACCTTCTAACCTTAAAACGAGTCTGTGACAATCTGCGTTATTCTACACACATTACCTTAATCCAAAACCCTGGAAAACAACCTTCGATATAAAAACCTTAAATCGAGGCTGACTTATTGTTTTCAAGCGTGAAGAAAATCTTTTAATGAAACTAGTCTCAAGATGAAAATAATCTTAAAACTCGGTCATTATAAGTTTTTTTTTCTTCCGTAAAGTCTTGTATGCTCAGCTGAAATCCACTTTGTCGTGAAATTTTAATGGACAATGAAATTTGATCCTATCACCGTTTGTAATGTCAGCTAAAATATCATTATGGACCTAAGTGACAATACTTTTTAAAAAATAATTTTTAATCCTTTTAAGGATGAAAGGTTTGAAACTGCAATGTTTTTGCTTTATTGAAAAAAAGGTTTGTAGTACAAACATTTTTGCGACAATAAAAAGAAAATTCCGACACAAGGTTACCGTAAAGTTACATGCTTTCTGGGATAATGATATGCATAAATTCAATTGCAAATATAAAAGTTCCAAATAATAAAAAATAATCATAAATAATAAAATAATTATAACTTATAAAATAGTTATATAAAGTAAGTTATAATGCTGCAGTTTCTAAATCATCATATGATGAAATTTCTGAATGGATCACAAACACGTATTTGGAAACATTCAAAATATAATTTTTAGAAAATTTTGAAAATAAATATCCCAGAAAGCATGTAACCTTACTGCAACCTTGTGTCTTAATTTTCTTTTTATAGTCACAAAAATATTTTGAAAAAAATACCCTTTTTCAATGAAACAAAAATATTGCAATTTCAAACCTTTTATCCAAAAAGCATAAAAAATGATTTTTTAAACTCTTTTAAAAACTATTATTACTTAGGTTAAAAAATATAAGCGAATGGTAAACATTGTTTTTGTATTTTTGTTGGTTATCATGATAAGAAAAACGGAAATACAAAGTGAAAACCTTTTCAAAGGAAACAAAATAATGTAAATACCAATCTTTTCAGAAAAAATATTCATAAATAATAAACAAATCTAAGGCGAAAAATTTCATGTAGAGGAAAAAAAATAAGTGAACATAAAATCCAAGTTCTAAGGTTCTGCAAAATTACACTATGCGAAAATCTTTTTTTTTTTTAAGATTTTCTCATTATCCCCAAATGGATTTAAAAAGTTAGGAAAATACTTTTTGTCGATGAGCTTTTTTTACAGAAGACAGCTCAAGCTGCGAATTTAAGAAATTGAGCACAGCTAAAAAAGGCGGATTTAAGAAAATGTACGCAATACAAAATGTGTTTTTTTAAAAAGGACGCATCTTAAGATAAGTGAGTAAGAAAATGGGCACAGCTGAAAACATGGGCCTCGCAACTGAGGGGTGCAAGAGGTTTCATACACCCTCAATATTTAGGGAGTTAAGAACCCAATATTTTGAGAAAAAAATTATTTTGATTTTCCATTAAAAATAATCTATGTTTTTTTTTCATTAAAAAAATTTAATATATAAAAGTATTTATTGTATAAAAAGGCAAAAGTATTTGTAGAAAGGAAATAAACCTAAAAAATAAAAAAAAACTACATCAAAAAATGGATGGGTGATCGTGTAAAGCTAAGGGTGGTGGTGCTAGTGGTAAAATTGCTCTTTCAAGACTTCCGGGTTACTGCTTCCGATATATTTTTACGCCGCAGATTGAAAAAACGCACCTTCATATTATTGCATCATATCTTTTGCAGTATTTCACATGTACCGAGTTCTTTCTTTCAGCCTTTAAACTTCGGCATTATCATATTAATATTATAATCATTAGAATATTTTCTAATTGGGGTAACTTAAAAATATATTTTTGGCAACATTTTATTCAAATGTAGCCAAATAAGGGATAAAATACAAAACATAGCAAACCTGAAGAATTATTCACAATGAGATATTAAATCTCCAATTTTTTTTCTGACCTTACGACCTCTGAGAATCAATACATTTCTGAAAGCTCTTATGAATGATACAATTATGTTTAGATTTGAACCCAAATTACAATAACAAAGCTGCATAGAATATTAGGCTTGTTCACACATCGCCTCGTAGTCATAACATAAGCGGAGGGATACACCGGAAATTTTCTAAATTTCTTCCGGTTTAAGGACGCTTGTTATTGTTTACATTAGACCACCCATCCATAGCAAAATAAGCGTCTACAAAAATAATATAAGCGTAAATGTCAGTCTAAACTTTCTCTTAAATGAGCAATAAACGGAATTAGATTCAATAAAGTATAAGGGGTAACCGCAATATGAAAAAAAGTAGTTTAGTCAGGGTAGACGAAAGTTTGAGCCTCTTATTATTAATTTTATTTTTTGCGTATATTTTCTCATTTCTTGAATAGTTTTTTGCAAACAAATATTAAATTCCTTTATGCAAAGATAATTCCACATACAAAAAATTTTTTAATCATTATTTGTGATATTTTATTGTTTATTTGATAAAAGTAATACAATTCAGACTTGTCAGGCAGGCAATTTTTTATACATTCAATAAAATTTTATTGAAATCGGTCGAATAGTTCACAAGAATTGAAATTTTAAGTGTAAGACATTTTCTTCAAAAATACAACGTATTAATCTACGACTCCGGCGTTTTACCTTCCTTAAGTATGCACGAGAAAGACGATTAAAAGGTAGCCCATTAACCATTTCTTTTCCTTTTTTCTTTGTGTGTTAGGCATAGTTCATTTACTTTTATATTTAGCTTGTAACTGTTTTATCCATTTACAAAATTAATATGTAATGATTCTATATATTTCAAAAGTAGTAATTACACGAAAACATTTGCCAAGATGTATGAGATGATAGCGTTAGGAAATAATTTTGATGTAGAAGTATATATATTTATTTTTTATGTCATATTTTTGTAATGTATTAAAAAAATTTCTCGTCAACATATGAGTCTTTCTGCATTTATAAATCTAAATGTATAATCTCTGCATCATGTATTTAAAGGGCTCTGTATTATGCTAGCCAACTCCAGAACTGCTTACTCTGCTCTTTTTAGATTATTTCGCAAATTTCAGTGGTGTACGGATCGCTATAAATGAGGCTTGATTGATTGATAGTTCATTTACGTCGCACTAGAGCTGCAGAATGGGCTGTTGGCGACGGTTTGGGATACATCCCCGAGGATGATCCGAAGACATGCCATCACAATTTTAATCCTCTGCAGAGGGGATGGCACACCCGCTTCGGTAGCCCGACGACCTGCACGCGAAGTCGAGCACTTTACTGTAGAACAGTTTAACGAGGACCAATACCGCACACCCTCTGTCCCTGCGCAGACTGAGCTAAGTTGACCCCCACCCGCACACTGACAGCAGCCAGTGATGCTCGACTTCGGCGATCTGCTGGGAACCGTGTCTTAACGATCAGTCCACTGCGAGACACTATAAATGAGGCAAAAAATAAAATATTGGAGATATTGGATTTCTTGCCGAAATATTTAAAACTTGAAATTTGGAAATTCTTCATTGAAAATCCTGCTAAAAATTAGCTGCTAATATTATCTAACGTCCCGCAATGGACTGATCGTTAAGACATGGTTCCCAGCAGATCACCGAAGTCAAGCATCACTGGCTACGGTCAGTGTGTGGGTGGGTGATCACTTAGATCAGTCTGCGTAGGGACCGAGGGTGTGCGGTATTAGTCCTCGTTAAACTGTTCTACCGTGAAGTACTCGACTTCGCGTGCAGGTCGTCTGGCTACCGAATCGGGGGTTCCATCCACTTTGCAGAGGATCAAAATTGTGATGGCATGTCTTCGGATCATCCTCAGAGGTGTTTCCCAGACCGTAGCCAATAGTCCATTGTGCAGCTCTAGTGCCACGTAAATTAACTACAACAACAACAACAATATTATTTAGCAAGGGTTTAATTTTATATTAATAAGGATTTAAATTAGAAATCTTTAAAAATGCATTAATATTAGATAACCAAGTTTGAATTTCACATTTATCGCTTTCATAATATATGATACAAACGGCTAAGAATTTATTTCAGCGAACTTTATTTTTAATCAATGATATATTCACCTTCCTTAGCAACAACCTTTCAATGCCACATCGAAAATGAATCAAAAGGGATCGAAGAAAATTAATTTCTTTTTTAAGAATAACGAATAATTAAAGTGGCGAAACGTCATTACTTTCCGGTCGTCCTAATTAATATATACACACATATATATATATATACATGTATCAAATATTAAAAGGCCGTATGTTATTGTGAATTTTACTAAAATCATTAACAAAGAGNTATAAACATCCTTTCCCTTACCTAAAAGACTAGATTGAGGTATAAAAGCAATTAGCCCTACAACTCTTCATAAATTTTTAATAATTTATGTAAATTTGGTTAACAAATAACGATAAAACTGCTTTATAAAAATTTTAAAAAATTTCAGATAATAAGTTCAACGTTCAGATTTTAAAGTCTTGGAAAATCATAAATAATTTATTAATCGATTGAAATTTTGTTTTCAAAGGATTAAAAAAAAAAAAAAAAAAAACTCTGTTTTCTTTGCCCAGAAAGCAGATACAAAAATTCTCCTCCTGGCTGCTTAGCAACAGAGACGCACTAAGTTTCGCCGTTTTGTCATTCATTCAGTTTCTCTATGGTTGTTTTCAATTATTTCACTTTCTTTGCTGAGGTAATTTGTCCTTTTTCTAAACTTCGCCATATATATAAATCGTTATTGCTATCCAATTTTTTTGAAATTTTGTCTATCATTCCTATTTCAAGGGTCAGGATACCAAATATGTAAAAAAATAAAATGTTTATTCAGAGAAAGTACGTTTTTGTGTCTGATTTCGTAACTTAATTAATAGTTAGCATTAATTAATCAGCATATTTGAGGTCGCCCCCAGAAACCATTAAGATTCAGTGTAATATCATTTTTTTTTTTTTTTTTTTTTTTTTTTTTTTTTTTTTTTTTTTTTTACNCAGCGAATTGAAAATTTCTTGCACTCAATTCGAAAATTCGTTTGTCCAAAACTAATTCCATGCAAAATATAACTTTTAGTAAAAAATTATTATTTTTTATTATATCATTTAATGATAGTCTAAAAAAGTTTGAATTGTAAGTTAAAAAACTTCAAAAAGATGAAGGTAAAATTTGAACGAAATCAATCGAACAGTTCCTAAATATTTAATAAGCGAATTTTATATGTGTGTGCAAAATTGTTTTAATTCGTTAAAAAAGTTCGCGAGACATGGTGAAATACGCAAAAAGGGGCCCAAACTTTGGTTCGCTCTCCTGACCAAACTACCTGGACCACATTTCCCTGTGTGCGACTACCCCCTATATTTTGGGGATTAGATATCCGAATCCGTCCAAAAAAGATATGTTTTTCTGAGAAAGTACGTTTTTTTATTGTTTAATTTCATAACTTAAAATATCGCTGGACTAATTAACATATTTGAGATCATCCCTTTAAACATTTAAGATTGAGTACTAGAACGTAAAGATCCAATCTTTCGATCAAAAATTAACGAATTAATAACGAATAATACGAGGACCAATACCTCACACTCTCGGTCCCTACGCAGACTGATCCAAGTGATCACCAACCAGCACACTGACCACAACCAGTGATGTTTGACTTCGGTGATCTGCTGGGAGCCGTGTCTTAACAATCAGTTCACTGCGGGACTTTCAAAAAACGAAAAATATCGTAGTACATTCCTATGGATGGTTTTTTCAGTAGAAATGTAAACAATAACAATCTCGAGCTCGGCACCTACTCTAGTTCCGGTTAAAAAGTTTGCAGATGCTTATTACATGTTATTCTGATATGCGACGTTTTCAAACGGATAATTTTGTTTTCAGTAAAAGAAATAAATTAGATAATTTCTGAGCTCAAATCTGCCGTATTTCATAAGATATTAATGTTATTATGTAATTCTGGGGAGTTTGGAGTGAAAAATTTGTTTCAGTTATTTTGTTATTAATTATTAAAAAAGGTGACATGGTTGCTAGATTTTGAATAACTCGCTTTTTTGGCAGTGTTAATTTGGCCTCTTTCCATAAGTTTATTACTGTTTGTTCTTGTTGCAAGCTGTGCACCATCAAACCCACTTCCACACTGCTGTGCCACTTCTCTAGGAGGCTTTGGCACCATCTTACGTAAGTGTTAACACTTTTAGCATTGTAAACACAGGTATTGTTAGCATTGTAAGCACAAGTAATAAGTAATCAAATACATCGTTCGCAAGAATCTCAAAACACAACGATGCGAAATGGATTTAAAATACCACGGAAACAGTAACCCGGAAATTTAGGCGGTACCGAGCTTGCAGCGTTCCCTAGTGTAGAAAACACCATCCATACAACTGAAAAGAGGAGGAGCAGAAAGGGGGAGGGGCCAAAGACATGGAACCGGTTTTCTCCTCAGATGGCGTATTCGAGCGTTGCGTTCGCCTATAAAAATATTTTTTTGAAGATAAACCGCAAAAATAGGGTAAACCTAAAACCTTGCCACCGGAAAAGAGCATTCCCTATGTCAGGTTTCAAGAGCTGATAATTCAAGAGCTGTAAGCAAATATTAAATATCGTTGAATTCCGCAAACGTGAGCTGGTCCAAAATATTTTGATCTTCAAACAGCATGTTATTAAAGTTTGGTAGTGTATAGCNTCATCCTGTTTCCTGAGGATTCACAGGCATCCTCACGCTATACACTACCTTAAAGTTTCCTGTAAATTGCTTATGAAGTTTTCAAACATTTTGAATTCATATTTTAAGCTTGTATGACCGAATAAAGAATAAGCAAGTGTTGGAATTTGTTCGACTAGTTGAAACTATGTTTCGGTCTACTAATAGGCAGTCTGAAAATTACTTTGAAATATCTAGTCTAAGTGACCAGTCAAATTTACCTGAGGGTGCCTGGAAAGTTAGTTATTAGAAATTAATTTACAGATTATATTTTTGTTGTGCTTTTTTCCTACTTGAATGTTCTCAAGTGTGATAGATATTTGATTAAAAAGTTGTATATTTTCAGCTGTTTTTTGTTACATAAATCCGCTGGTTAAGAGAGACCCGAATTGAGTGGAATGTAATGTTATTTTCTTTCTGATAATAAAATCCGTTATTGGTAGAAAATAAATGGGAACATTGTAAAATTTATTTATTTCCACATTTTTTCAGGGGGCTCAGCTTATTTAATACAGTTGAACCTCGATATCCCCAATTTTAAGGGAGAGCGAAAAAATTTCTAATATCCAAAATTTGAGTCATCAAAAATCAGATGCCATCAGGTATGGAATAAAGGAAAATTATTATTTTTTTCATTTGTTATGTATGGATCATTCTCTACATAAACAAATGATCATTTAACACTCGTGCTGTAACATGTAAAGGAATGAAGTTCTACTATCAAAGCTGTCATAATAAATGAGATAATGCATCAGCATAGGGCATTTTCATACCAGGGCAATGTTTCACAGTTTTGTTAAATTTCTGTAGAGACAATTGATTTGTTAGATTTCTGTAGAAAACGGCAATCGTTTTTACATACTTAATGAAACACTTGTGGATCCGTGTGTGCGTATACAGAGCTGGATTCAGTGGGAAGGATTTTCACCCTCTCATGTGCTGTATTTTGCTAGAGATTCTCAATTTCAATTTTCGCCCTTTAAAATTAAGCCAAAAAATCTCCCTCATTTTCGTTCTATACTGGCGCCAACTAAGCATTGTGAAATCTTTTTATTTCTCTTGTTAACTTTATCATTGGTGAAACGCCATCTTCTTCATCACTGGCAAGCTAATGACCTTCTCACAATATTCTATTTATAGATCAGTAACATAATCTTTGAACTTGACTTGAGGATCATTCACAAATTATGTATTTTCATGTGGGTCCCCAGAGCAGTCAAGAATCCTACATTTTTAATGTACTTATTTACTTTTTATTAATTATTGTATTATTATTTATAAAATTTTCAGTGCTCAAGTTGTTTTTATGACATAACTCAATGATAGAGGCAAAATTAAAAAAAAACATGGAGAGGCTTTTACTATTTTAAATGCTGCAAAAAATTTTATGTTTAGCTATGTTTACAAATTCAGATTTGTCATTCCAAAAAACTAGTCATTAAGGATTTTCAAAAGAATTAAAATTGAAAAAAAATCAAATTGCCTTTGATTTGTTAAATATTTTGAGTGTAGGAATTATAGAATACTTTACTTCTGACTAAAATGAAAATTGTTGTTCTCTTTCCTATTATGTTAGTTTTTATTGAATTTATGCACACAAAACTTTGAATATTCTAATTAAACTTTTAACTCATTAATATAAATCAGATATTACTTTTCAGTTTGTTTTTATTCCATTTTGGTAAAAATGTTTTTTATATTGATATAATTTATTTAAGGTCAGACCTTGCGAATGGTATTTAGAAGAATATAAAGATTGTAAAAGTGAGTAAAATTTATATTCCAGTTTACTTTATTTTTTAACATTAAATTTTATTTTTATAGATATTATGAATTTTCTATACGTTTTTCTCTAATTCAAAATCATAAATATTTGACATGCTTTTCTAGTGCTGTAGTTGGAAAAAATCTTAGGGTTAACTCATCTGTTTGTAGGGTATAAGCAAGTCATGGTTGACTGTTTTTTATTGAGTCAAAAAACGACCAGTTTAAATTACTTAACTACAATTTTAATTTTAAATAAAGCAGATACTTGTTAACAAAGAGGTTTGCTGCTAATTTGCGTTATTTTTTTCTTAGGGTATATTCATAATGAAAGCTATTGATAAAATAATTGTAAAATGAAGTTAACTGTATAAATTTTTACTAAATGTTAGGTGAATGCAAAATTCTTCATTAGCTCTTGAAAAATGGTATGCACCACTTATTTCTTAAACACATTGCCTTGATAGCTAGAAAATATATACAGTCGAACCCCGCTATAGTGAACCTGGGATATAGTGAACACTCGGATGTAGTTGACTTTTTTAGCGGTCCCGTCCGTATTCCTATTTAAATAATGTTATTTTTAACGCTTATAGTGAACAGCTTAGAACTTGGAAACTCGGTTATAGTGGACTCAAATTTCATTTCTTTAAATATCTTTTTCAGTCCTCCATCTTTAAACTTGTAGGTGTTGGGACTGAAAATGAATGCATTCCTATAAAATGTGTCATATTACTCTCCTTTATGCTTATCACTTTTAACTATACTGTAATAAATGTCAAACAGATCATTTATCTTATACTCCCCCCTCCCTGACAAGCCTCGCTTT